CAACGAAAGAGGGGGAGGCCTTCAATGAGATGGATTGACATGGTGGCTGCGATGATGGGCTCAAGTATAGCAGGGATTGTGGGGCTGGCGTGGGATTGGGCAGTGTTTCGTTCTGCTGTGCATGGGGTCGCTATGAGTCAGAAATGACTCGACAGCACTTAACAACCACTAAATAACTGTCAACATTTTAATTTTGTGTTGTGTAAAGATGCAACCAGTATATCTGAGGGCAGTTGAAATATCAAAAGAAAATATCTGAAAATGTTTTACTTTGTACAGTATTGATGGCTATTTCCCATCACTAATGTCTTGTGATCCTAGGTATAACCTAGATTGTTATAACTTTGTGATAATGTTATCAGATAACAAACAGAATATTACATCTACTTTAGACAAACGTTTTCTATTCCCCTTAGATGTTGTCTCAATTACCCTCTATAGTATCTTCTTCAGTTACCACATTTTGTCTTATTTCATGGTCATTTCCATTCTTATTTAATTCTTAATAAAGTAAGAATCCCCAAGGGTTAAGAGTATGGGTTATTTATAATTATTCTTATTTCCTGAAAAAATGACTGAATTGTGCTCAAATAAGTTAAATTGTCACAAAATTGTTTTTGACAGTAAAGCCTGCATCCTTATCTAGATCTAATAGCCTTAAAAATACATTGTTCAGGGCACAAAGAGGGCTAATTAATAGGAGGATTTACCTCAGTAAAAATCAATCCATTATGAGCAGAATAAATTCAAGTCTACATCAAATCCTTCTTATTTTCATGATTTAATTTATTTGTACTATAGACATTTTTTTAGATCTAGCAAAGATAAATAAAAATTGAGAAACTTTCTTAACATCTAAGCTGTGAGCAAATAGTCAAGTTATGTGTTCAAAATATATCCAGAAATTAACTACCTCTCTTAGCTCCACCACTATCACCACTGGCTAAGCCAGCATCAATTCTCATCTAAAGGACAATAAGGTAATTCTAACCAATTTCAAAAAAGCTCTCATGGCACAATGGTTAAGTGCTTGCCCGCTAGCTGAAAGGTCAGCAGTTTGAAACCAACAGCCAGGTGCCCCATGGGAGAAAAGGCCTGGCAATCTGCTCCTGTAAATATTTCACCCCCCACAGAACTCCTGTGGAGGAGTTCTACTCTGTCTTGGTCATTAGGAGTTGGAATCACCACAACAGCAGACAACAACCAATTTCATCCTTGTTCCCTGTTTTGGTCATCTAGGGCTGCTCTAACAGAAGATACCACAAATAGGTGGCTTTAACAAACAGAAATTTATTCTCTTACACTTTTGGAGGCTAGAAGTCTGAGTTCAAACTGCCAGCTCTACGGGTTGAATGAAATGCTCTTAACCTAGGGCTTCAGTTCTACTTCTTGCTTCTGGCCCACAGGAGCTGGATGCTTCTCTTTACTCAGGCAGCTGCTGGCTGCTAAGGCTGACAAACCCAAGGTTCACAAGTAAAATGACACAGTCCAATATTATCAAGCCACATGGCAGGCCACTAGTCCAAGTCCTGAAACACTCTCAAGATTGGCAGACAACGTGGCAGGCCAATGAGATGAAGACTTGGCCAAATGCAGGGTCCAGATGTGCTGGAAGAAGCTCAAGACCGTCCTCAGAGCTTCTTAGATACTGGAAGCAGGCTACATCCCTAAGGCAGCTACTCAGCTATTCACAGTGGATTCCCTCATAGAGTAGATTATCAGTCTCATCATAGGGAATAACTGCATCCACTCAGAACCAGGCCCAGCCAAGTTGACACAAAAGCTTAACTACCACACTCCTCTACTCTTTATTCTCAACACAGCATCCATTGTGATTCTTTCAACACAGAAGTTATATCAAATCAGGCTATTGCTCAAACACCCTGATGTCATCCTATATCACTTAGAGTAAATGCTAATTTTAAAACATAAGCAAAAGCAATATAAAAAAAAGTTTGTGAATAGCACAATATAACTAAAGAAAAGGAAGACAAGGAAAGGTGCATGAGTGGTAAAGACAATAAAAGTAAATACTATTACATATACAATTCTGCATTATCACTAACAGCAAACACTAATCTATGGGAAGATACATAGGTAGACAGGCAAGAAGATAAGAGATAGATAGCCAAATGTAGACATGCCCACAATCACAAATAGGTTTAACAGATGATATTCCCACATACATATTTGTGTGTGCTATCAAAATGTCCTTATGCAGTTTAAAGCTAACAGGAGGGCAAAGTTAGGAAAACTTCTTAGCCACAACTAAGCACCTGAGGAGAGTGAGTTGCTGGGCCTGTGGGCTAGGGACCATGGTTGTCAGGGACATCAAGCTCAAAGGGCACAACATAGTATACAAACAAACAAACAAACAAAAAAAAAAAACCTGTTGTACATCTTCCTTCCATAAGAAGTAACTGGGGTCTTAAAAGATTGTGAGTGGCCATCTAGGATGCAACTATTTGTCTCTCCTCATCTGGAGCAAGGAAGAGTGAAGAAAATCAAAGATACATGGAAACAGTTAGTCCATAAGACAAATGGACCACGAGAACTTCTGCCTATGTGACCCTGAGACTAGAACTAGATGGTACTAATACCAACCACTCAGAAAATGACCAAAATTGGAGATCTTGGATAGAGTGGGAGAAAAATGTGTAATAAAAATATATATATATATATATATATAAATTAAAACCAGACACCAGTTTTACTGCTCAGATAGAGAGACTGGTGGAATTCCTAAGACTATGGCCCTGAGTCACACTTTGGGCCAAGAATTGAACTCACGCCTGTGGCTTAGCTCTTAGCCAATTAATAGATGGGACTATAAGCCGAACAACTACACAAGGGCAATACACTCCTTAGAACAATCAGTCTTGGGAGATCAGAAGGGCAGCACTTTTACAGGGAGGAAACTTGAGTGGCAGTAATGGATAGGCAAGAAAGACATAGAGAAAGTGTACCCACAGGGAGGAAGTGAGAGGAGAGCTGTTACAATATGGGGCATATAATCAGTGTCACAAAACAAAATGTGTATGAACTGCTGAATATAAAATGAATCTGCTTTGTAAAATTTCACCCAAATCACAATAAAAACTTTTAAATAATAATAATAACAATCCACAAGATGCCCATGATATACCCAGATCTCTGCCTTCTGCCACTGCATTGCCCACTGAATTCTATGCACATTGACAATCTCACTTTTCCTCACATGTAGTAAGCACACTCTACCCCATTACTCTCACTTGCTGCTTTTCTGCACAGAACGAAGTCAGATGTTGAGATATTCAGTCAGACATATCCTCAGATGCTTGCATGACTTAATCCCTCATTTCTGAATTATCATCAAACATCAAGTTCTTGAAGAAGCCTTTGTTGACCCAACTATACAAAAGAGTGTCAACCTCCCTGCTTCTTCCTTGCCTTTTGTGACATTTATCACCTTCTGATATACATATACATTTACTTATTCATCATCATAAAATCCATCCCCTCAACTAGAGCTTCATATCCATATTAAGTCCTCATGGCATGCCTCACAGATTTTTCTTTACTATCATATTCTCTGTCATATTCTTGCACATTTTCTGCTCAAAGAATATTTTGAAAGAAGGAATTAAGAAATGACCAACTTAATAGTAATTGCATACATTTAAGTGAACAACCAGTTACCAATGGTACAAATTTTAAAAGGAAGGGAATATTCAAGAAAAATATTTATCATAGATAAGACCATGAGTGTCATAAAAATAACATGCAATTATCATTTGTTCAAGTGTTCCCACCAGCCATCTTTAGGCAAACAAATCCCTACAAAAGATTTTCCTCAGAGACAGCATCACTTCTTTATTCCTCAGTGTATATATCAGTGGATTCAGCACTGGGGTGACAGTGGTGTGTATGACAGCCACAAACCGTTCCTGTATGACAGAGGTGTTGGAGGTAGGGAGAATGTAGACAAGGCCCGCAGTTCCATAAAAGAGAGATACTACCATGAAATGGGAAGCACAAGTGGACAGAGCCTTGTGGAGCGCACTGCAGGACCTGTGCTTGAACAGAAGGAAGCCAATAATGTAAAAGTAGGAGAGAAGGGTCATGAAGCAAGTTGCTATGACTAGGCTGCAAGTGACAATGCGAATGAGCCACTGATTGAGCCGTATGTCACCACAAGCCAAGTTCAAGAGTGGCTTGACATCACAGAAGAAGTAGCTGAGTTTCTGAGAGTGACAAAAGTTCAGGCGTGCAGTCATGACTGAGTGCATCAGAGCATGGAAGAAGCTGGCGAGCCAGGCCCCACCTGCCAACAGAACGCACATCTGTGGGTTCATGATGATTGTGTAGCAGAGCGGGTAGCAGATAGCCACAAATCGGTCAAAGCCCATTGTGGTTAGCAGCATGGACTCGGTGCTGCCCAGGAAGTGGAAGAAATGTAGCTGGCTGATGCAGCCTAGGAAGGAGATGGCCTTGCGAGTGGAAAGGAGGTTCCACATGAGCGTGGGCAGTGTCACCGAGGAATAGCAGATATCAAGACAAGAAAGATTCCCCAGGAAAAAATACATAGGGGAGTGGAGTCTTGGCTCTAAGATGACGATCATTAATATGGCCCCATTTCCAAACAGATTTATCATATATAGAATGAGGAATATCATGAAGATTACTGGCTTCAGCTCCTGAACACAGGGCAGTCCCAGCAAAATAAACTCATTCACTCTAGTGATATTATCCATGGCTTTCTGAAGGAAACATAACAATGAAATTAGCAAAATGTTTCAGTCTGTTGTGTAGGGTTAAGTAAAGCAAGTTTATCATATGGAAGTATGTAAGAAAGAACTATGGTGAGCAGAATAATTAGGAGTGCTGGAGTTGACTTCATTTGCAACATAAATAAGAAAAACAGGTACATGATAAATTCTGAGTCAGTGTGATACAAGTGATACATAGATGCAAGAAGGAGCCTCAGAAGTCTTAGTTAACCTAAAAAGCAGCTCATAAACAATAAAGTCAGATTTTCAGAGAAGACATGTTAAAAAGTTAGACAGGTAGGACTCAACAGTACCTGAACTATGTATGGCATTACAATTAATATAGCTACTTAAAATCTATCAAAGACACATTTGTAAACTTTGAAAGCTTTTTTTTTTTAATAAAATAAAGATAATAAAAACAATCATTATTCTGGGTACTGGTAGGACCATGGCAGTAGCTTAAACCCAAATCTCCCCCACCTGACCTAAAAACAAAACAAAAACGAAAACAAAACAACAAGCAGAATAAACTTCCTCACAACCCAAGCCTTCATTGAACCTAGAAGACATTTTTTTAAAAAAGAAAATTAAACTCACAAACTTCAAATAATGTCTAGGTAGAAAGACTACAAATTAGCAGAATTGGCAAGTGGAGACACCATAGTGGATCACAGCTGGGAGGCTGTACATGCAGGAGAAACCCAAATTCCTGAAAATTATAGACAGAAGGATGATTTTGAATCATCAGAAAACAACCCATCTTGGAGTGTTCCCTCCACAGAGTGTGATTTGTACGGCAATATCAGAAAAGACAAAGGCAAAGGACAAGCTCTGAGGAACTGGAGACAAAAGCTTGTTGACTGCACAGAGAGCAAAGGTCCGGCAATGAAGAGGGGGCCCTGAGCCAAAAACCTGGCAAAACTACCCTATGCTCTCTGCTCACAGGAATCTCTTGCTAATAACTTGCCTCCAAAAATAAAACTTACTCAAATATGAACAATCTGTAGGAAAAAAATCTGCACCCACATGAAGATACAATAAGAAAAAAATAGATATCATAATTTCTCAATTGACGAAATCTCACTTTGAAAGTGTGGGAGTGGAGCACAGGAAAACTACAGCATGATATTCCAAATTAGAGCTATCACAGAACTTTTTAATGGGCGAAGAATATATTAAGATGAAAAATAGAAATGCAAATTAAAGTCCAATGAAAGGGCATTTTGACAAATATCAAAATGCCTGTTATGGTATTGTATTTGCTTGAGTGTGGTAATACATACACATGGGGAAATTCAAATGATTCAGCCTCTGAAGGCTGAGTTGCACAACTTTCAAAGAGGAAAATGCTAACATTTTGAACTAACAATACCACTTCCTAGAATTTGTTCCTCAGATATATTTTCATGTTTTAAAAATGATATATGTAGCTTTCATTTATCAATTCATTTAAGTACTGCAAGACAAAAGAAAATGAGATAGTACTATGTATACTGTTCTTAGACACATATAGGTGCCAAAAAAACACAAATACACACATATAAATGCGCTTATGCAACTATTCCTACTATGAGTCATATGTCCTTTAAACAAAGAATGACAAAACAGATCAGAAAATTCAAAGTTTTTCTAGATAATGACTTGTGCCATAAGCATACTTGTTGTCCCTGCCACCCCTGTGAATTTCCACAGCTGAGTTTCAAAGAGGCTTCATAGTTACTGTCATTCACCTCTTCCATTCTTCTCTATCTGAAAAGTCTCACTCTAATCTAACCTTTTTTCTTTTCTACTCACTACCTGTGCCAATTCACCATACTCTTTGTTCCTGTGTACACATCTTGGAATCAATCTATCTTTTTGGTGCATAAGGAAATCTAGGATTCAGAGCTGTGATGTATTGGTTGTCTCTTTGAATAAAAGTAACCAGGAGATTTTGGGCTACTCTAAGCCTCATATGACAAACAGCTTACATCTAAATGAAAGAATAAATCTCAGAAGAATTTTCCTTCATTTTTCTTCTGATCAGAAAATAAACAAGCTGAGTCCCCTCTGAATATCCCCAAGGTGTCCCAGGCATAGATGTCTTGGGATTTCCTCTCACACTCCTTATTCTCTTTATTTTCCTTTTCCCGTATATATTAATTTGTCTCCATGTGTGTGTTCGTGTGTGTGTGTTCTTATGAGAATATTGAACAATATTTAACAAAGAAACTGGCCGTGAATACATGGAGTCATTTCATTTGGTCATGATGTATAATTCTTTTCATACATTGTTCAATTCAATTTGCAAATATTTTGTTGAGAATTTTTACATCTATGTTCAGAAGAGATTTTGATTTATAGGTGTCCTTTTTTGTAATGCCTTTATTTGGTCTTGAAAATAGGAAAGCCCCTTAGAATAAGTTAGATGGTGTTATGCTGCTTCTATTTTAGAACAAAATGCAAAGAACTTTTCCTTATAAAAGTTTGGTAGAATTCACCAGTAAAAATATCTGGCCCTGGTGCTCTATGTCTTGGAAGGTTATTAAACACCAATTTTTTTTAACAGATATAAACCTATTCACATAATAGCCTATCTATTTTTCCTTGTGTGAATTTTGATAATTCTTATCTTTCTAGAAATTGATGTGTATTATCTTGATTACCAAATTTGTGAGCATAGCATTGTTCATAATATTCCTTTATTATCCTTTAATCTCTATGAGATCAGTCATGACGACCTCCTTTCATTTCTGACATTAGCGATTTGTGTCTTCTCTCTTTGTTTCTTGGTTAGCCTGGGTAAGAGTTTAAAATGCTATTATTATTTTTTTTTTTTCAAAGAATCTGCTTTTGGTTTCATTTATTTCTTTTCATTAATTTTTGATTTAATTATCATCATTTCATTTTTTCTGGTTACTTTGGACTTAATTAGTCTTCTTTCTCTAATTTTCTGTGGTGGAAGTTCAGGTTATTGGTTTCTACTGTTCTAATGCATGCATTCAGTGCTATAAATTTTTCTCTATGCACAGCTTTTGCTGCATCCCACAATGTTGATAAATTATGCTTCATTTCCCTATAGTTCAAAATATTTTTAATTTCTCTTGAGACTTCTTCTTTGACTCATTGTTATTTGGAAGTGTGTTGTTTGATCACCACATATTTTGGTATTCTCCAGCTGTCTTTCTGCTTTTGACTTCATATTATTGTGGTCTGACAGCATACTTTACATGATTTCTGTTCTTTTAAATTTGTTAGGGTATAATTTGTGGACTAGATTGTGCTTGTCTTGGTAACTTCCATGTAAGCTTGAGAAGAATGTGTATTCTGCTGTGGTTAAATGAAGTATTTTATAAATGTCAATTAGATCCAGTTGATTACTTATGCTGCTCAGTTCAAGTATGTCGTTACTGATTTTCTGCCTGCTGGTCTGTCAATTGCTGGATCTGTCAATTACTGTTAGAAGGGTGTTGAATCTTCTACTATAATAGTCTGTTTGTCTATGTCTCCTTGCAGTTCCATCAGTTTTGCCTTTTGTATTTTGATGCTTTGTTGTTAGGTGCATTTATGTTGTAGTTATTAGGTGTCCTTGAGTCAGTTTTCGACTCCTAGTCATCCCACGTGACAGAGTAGAACTGCCACATACAATTTTCTAGCTTACAATCTTTACAGGAACAGATCTCCAAGTCTTTCTCCCATGGAGATGCTGAGTGAGTTCAAACTACCAACCATTTGATTAGCAGCTAAGCTCTTAAATGTGCTATGAGAGCTCCTTGAATTCAGGATTGTTTATGTCTTTTTGAAGGATTGATCTTTCATCATTGTGTAATGCTCTACTTTATTCCTCATAATATCACTTGTTCTGACCAAGTGTGATTTCTCTGAAATTAATATAGCCACTCTAGGTTTCTTTTTGTGAGTATTATAAAATATATTTTTCTTCAGCCTTTATTTTTAATTTACTTGTGTCTATAATGTATATTTCTTGTATTCAATATAAAGCTTTGTTTTTTATGCATGCTAACAGTCTCTATCTTGTAATTGAGGTATTCAGACAGTTAATGCTTCAAATGACTATTGATACAGATGGATTATTATCAACCATATTTGTAACTACTTTTGTTCATTGTTCTTGTTCTTGTTTCTTTTTTGTTTTTGTTTTTCATTCTTTTATCTTCCTTCTCTGGTTTTAATTAAATATTTTGTATGATTCTATTTC